CCAAATGCAGAGTCTCTCTAACTTATTTGACTGTGGAACCTCCTTTTGTAAGAGGCATTGTGTGAGACTAATGTTTTATGGAAATTGCTGTGAGGAACCAAATTTCTACTACCTGCCCCAAGGTGTTCTCTCTGGAAGGAGGTGTCCTGGTCCAATAACTGGAAATGTTCATCTCCCCAGGTATGTGACCCCTCAGTGGATATGATGAGGGAAGGGATCTGTTTTCTAAATCTCTTTCTTGAGGGTTTTTCTAACCTGAAGCAACCGCCCTGGGCCTGGGCCCCGCTAGACGAATCAACTATAACTGAATTTCAGAACTTTCCAAGTGGTTGGCAGGCCTCATCATGCCAGGGACTTCAGGCTCCACCAAGCCACTGTCATCCCTGGAGCCTAGTCCTTAACCAGCCTGCCTCTTCCCAGCAGGAATGAGGCCAGGAAGGGACAAAAAAAGAGGAGGGAATCTGGGAAGAAAAGGCGAGGGAGAAAAGGGAAAAACTGAAGGAAGGAGAAAGAACCAGAGGGGGAGCCAGGCGCAGTGGCTCAAGCCTGTAATCCCAGCACTTTGGGAGGCCGAGACGGGTGGATCACGAGGTCAGGAGATCGAGACCATCCTGGCTAACCCGGTGAAACCCCGTCTCTACTAAAAAATACAAAAAACTAGCCAGGCGAGGTGGCGGGCGCCTGTAGTCCCAGCTACTCGGGAGGCTGAGGCAGGAGAATGGTGTAAAGCTGGGAGACGGAGCTTGCAGTGAGCTGAGATCCGGCCACTGCACTCCAGCCTGGGCAACGGAGCCAGATTCCATCTCAAAAAAGAAAAAAGAAAAAAAAAGAACCAGAGGGGAAAGAAACAGTGAGGAACAGACAGACCCTCAACAGCAGCGCCAGGAGGGTTTCGTGAAGGGACTATTTACCAAAGGTGTGCACAGGATTTTGGAAAACCAACAAAGATGGAGCAGGTTGGGTGTGGTGACTCACACCTGTAATCCCAGCACTTTGAGAGGCCAAGGCGGGCAGATCACCTGAGGTCAGGAGTTCGAGACCAGCCTGGTCAACATGACAAAACCCCATCTCTACTAAAAACACAAAATTAGCTGAATATAGTGGTGCACACCCATAGTCCCAGCTAATTGGGAGGCTGAGGCAAAAGAATCCCTCAGGAGGCGGAGGTTGCAGTGAGCTGAGATTGTGCCACTGTACTCCAGCCTGGGCGACAAGAACAAAACTCAAAAGGTTAAAAAAAAAAAAAGGTGGAGTGTGCCTAGGAGCCAGCAGCATGGGGTCATGACCACCCCTAGGCCTGAAGGGCCAGGGAGGGAGTGGACCCGGAGAGGGTGAGTATATTAGTCTGTTTTCACGCTGCTGATAAAGACATACTCAAGACTGGGTAATTTATAAAGAAAAAGAGGTTGAATGGACTCACAGTTCCACGTGGCCGGGGAGGCCTCAGAATCATGGCAGAAGGTCTCGTCTCACACACATGGCAGGAGGCACGTCTCACACAGCGGCAGACAAGAGATAATTGGGGCCAAACGCAAGAGGTTCCCCCTTATCAAATCATCAGATCTCATGAGCCCTATTCCCTATCGCGAGAACAGTGTGGGGGCGACCACCCCCACGATTCAAATTATGTCCCACTGGGCCCCTCCCACCACATGTGGGAGTTATGGGAGCTGTAATTCCAGGCGAGATTTGGGTGGGGACACAGCCAACCCGTATCAGTGGGTGTGGAGGAGCCAGCTGAGCAGCAGCTGCCAGGGCCTTCGGTGCTGTCAGCCCAGCAGGCCCGGATCCACCCCATCCATTGTCCCCCTACCCTCTGATCTCCTGCTGGTGCCTCCCATTGGCCAAACCCTGTCAGAGGCCCCTAGTCAGGGAGCAGCTGGTGCAGCCGCACACTCACACTCGCGGGGTGGAGATGGGCAGGAGCAGCTGAGGGGAATGGAGACTGCCCGGCATGGGAGGCTCGGGAGGAGGCTGGGGAAGCAGAAGGGCAGGGAGGAGAGATGAAAATACAAGTCCTCCAAAGGGAGGGCCTTGAAAGAGGTAAAAGTAGAGAGGAGCCTCCAGGCTGGAGGCAGCTTTTCTCTGCGCCCTCCTAGATGCATGGGCTTGTTGCCTCTCCCCAAACCACCAGATCTGTGAGTATCAGAACGGCCCGCCCTGGGCAGCAGACATGTGGGCGTGGCCCCAGCACAAACAGGCAGCCGGCCTCCTCCCTGCTCCTGCCAGCTCCCACAATGGGGTGGGCGGATGGAGCTCCGCTGAGCTCAGCTCTACAGGCCACCTCTGATGTGCACAGCCCTCCCTTTATGCAAGCCATGAGTGCCTGAAAGGTTGGGAGCATAAATCAATGCCAGGCAAAGGAGTCATCGTTGAAATTCACCAGGAAAAAATGCATCGCTGAAGATCCTAGAGTGAGTTCCTCTCCACAGACCATAGTTGTCCCCGACGTGGCTCTTGGCTACACACACATTGGAGCAGTTGAAAGTGGGCCCACTCTGACTATGAAGCTTCATCAGGAGGATGTTCTGGCCGCGCCAGGGTGGGTGATGAGCTGCATCTGCCTCCCAGCCCCGCAGGTTCAGGGAAAGTTGCCAGCACTCACACTTCCCTCTCTGCTTCTCTCCTCCACGTTCTGGTAGCTCCAAGGGGGAAAAGTGCGGGTGCCTCTCTCTACCCATTCCGCAGAGAGGTGAGCTGATGGGCAGGCACTCAGAGCCGCCTCAGGCCTGCCCCTGCCACCACCCAGCCCACCTTTCTCCACCAGCCTTATGAGCTCCGGGCCCGGCCCCTGCCTTCGAGGGGGCCTGACTCCCTCACTGGCATGACCTCCGAGGGCCTGGCTGGGTGGAGATGATGGGAGAGCCACCTCCCAGTTCACTCGGAGCAACAGCAGCACTGGGCCTTTGGTGAGATGAACCCAGGAACACCAAGACCAACCCAGGGAAAGGGATGTCTGAGGCAGGGAAATCCTTCATGAAGGGAGGCAGCCGCTGTGGATCGAAGCTGTTTTCTGTGCCTCTACATCATCATTGGCAGAGGGCAGAGGTGGGGGAAGACGGGGGCAGGCACAGGACTGCAGGAGAGCTCTTCGCGTCCCCTAGAGTAGAGCTGATGCCCCTGAGGCATCTGGTGGAGGTGAGGGGGGCAGTGCCAATGTCCTCTGGGTCCAGGGGCTTGTGGAGGCCAGAAGAGGGTCTCCAGGACCAGGTCACATGCCAGGGAAGGCTTCCTGTTGGAGAAAGCCTCTGAGCTGAGTCCTGAGGAGGCACTGGTGGTAGGCACACTAGGTGGTAGGTACACTAGGTGGTAGGCACACTAGGTGGTAGGTACACTAGGCCACACTTGGGTAGGCCAACCCTGTGTATTTGGAGTGTCTTCACCTATGGGGGACTTAACAGAAAGGCAAGACACCAGGAGAGTCTTGAATCCAGAGACCTATCATGAAGTGCCCATTAATGATAGACGGGTGAGGCATTCAGAGAAGGCTTCCTGGAGGAGGTGAGCCTAAACAAAGCTTGAAAGGAAGGCAGTCAAGAGAGACTGTAGACTTTGGTAGACCCCTCACTTCCATGCCCTCGTTGCTCCCAGGATCTTTTTCTCCTCAGCCACTGCCTTGGTTTGAAGTTGTACAATTCTCTAATTGTTTCATTAATGTCACTGGACTACGGGCTCCAAGGTTTTGCTCACCATTGTGACATAGTGAATGTTCAATCAATGTTTTTGGCAGGAATAAGTGAAAGGATGAGTGAATAACTGTTTGACTTGTCCTAACTACTGTGGTCTGGAAGTGGCGTGGGTCTGTCCCATGGAGGGGTGGGAGGCAGTAGGAGGCCTTGGAGATCTTGCAACACAGCTGGAGCTGCACTGGGTGGGCTGGACAGAAGATGGTCTGGGGCAGCAGGACAATAAGCGCAGGGTTCCTTGTTCTTGTTTCCAGGGGGAAGTGGGAGCTGGGAAGAGGGCATAAGGCTAGGACACCATGGAGCATGCCATCTGGAACCCTGCGGTGGCTAGAGCTTGCAGGAGATGGGCTTGGAGGGAAAGGGGGCCCCGGATGGAGCCAGACCTCACATAGTGTGCACCCCAACCCCACAGCCCCTCTCCCCAGCCTGGGGTCCTCCAGGAGCTGCTGGACCTCTTTCTCCTGTCTCCCCCACTGCCTCCTTGGTCTGACTGTGCAGAGTGATTTGTGGGCCTGACAAGTTGAATTGTGGGTAAAGCGCTGTCTAAATGTGGAGCAAATTGGAACTGCAGCTCCGGCTGGCGGGCCATCCATCATGGGAAAGGCTCGTCAGCACCTCACTGCCCTGCCCAGCCTGGGCCCCTCACTGTGCTTGCCCCAGGGGTGAAGGGGTCTCCTCCTCTCTCCACCTAGGGTCTGAGGGGGCCAAGGGTAGCATGGGAATGGGGGCCTGGGACTAGGGACCTAGCTGGAAGAGAGACAGGGAAGAGGAGGACTGACCATTCCTTGCATTGGTAGGGTCTCCTTTAGGCTTTTCCATAGCATTTTATACTGATGAATTTCACATAAGCCTCCCAAGAGGTGTATTGTTTATAAATTGGGAAACTGAGGCACAGCGCAATCAGGTGAAAGGTCCAGTCTTGCACTGCACTAACAGAGACTGGAGCATGAAATTTCCTGCTGGAGTACCTGGCATTCTTAACAAAGCGGTCGTTTCTTGCAACACGGAAGAATTCAAAAGCAAATAAATATTCCATCTGGCTCAACTCCTAGTTCCTGGAACTGACACCTTAGTGGCTCCATTATGGACGGATGAGGTGAAGGAGCCACAAAAACACCTATAACCTGCAGGCCCTGCCTTGAGGGACTTGCTGTCTGTGCCAGGAGCTGTTCCCATTCTAGGAGAACACTCTCCCTGCTTTGAGTCCTGACACCCCATTCCTCAGTCCATGTGACACTCCCAGCCTCTCACACCCCGTTCCTCAGTCCATGTGACACTCCCAGCCTCTGACCCCATTCCTCAGTCCATGTGACGCAGCTCCTGGCCACGGCTGATTAGGCCAGAGGCGGTCACCTGAGCCAGGCTATCTCCTCATAGCCTGGCCCTGACCTCTGACTTGGGACCTGCCTAGAAAAGATGAGCTATGCCAATTAGATGCAAGGAATTTGGAATTGGGATCTTGAGCAACCCAATCAGGTAGCAGAGTGAGCCAAGCTGAAAGTTCCCAGGTAACCTCAGGACTCATCTTTCTCAGAGGCCAAACTATCCAGGCCCTGCTTACTTTCCCCTGCCTCTCCCTCAACTCCGGATCCAGAAACCTCTGTGTGTGTGTGGAAGAGGGGAGGAAGATGCTACACTTGCTCTCTGTCATCCCACATGCCCCCAAGCTACCAAACTGTTTATCCACATGAGTCATTTCCGTTTCCCCTTGAGGCCTGGGTTTGGAAACTCAGAACCTAAGCACAGACTGCTGTCTCTCTCTTTATGCTGAATCATCCCTTCCTTGAGACAACAGCTGAGCTGTCCTGCTGACTACTGAACGGAAGCGGCCAAGGTTGGGGATGGAGAGGAGCCGTGGAATATGAATTAACATTCCCATATGTTATCCTGTCACACGAGGTTACCCGTGGCCCAGGACCCCAAATGCGGAAGCATCAGGAAGGGAGAAAGCGCCTTTCTGCAGGGGAAGGGTATGTGTTTGTGGAGGGGGGGCCTCTCTGCAGACCTCTGTGCTCCTGATTTCATTTTTGTGGAGCCCTTGCTGGCTGCCCTGGCCTGGGCCTCTCATGACCTGTAAGATTAGTGCTAAAAGTCCGACTATTTGTGCAAAGTACGTTTGTATCTGTTTCAGTCAGGGTTTAAGTGCAGGAAACAAAAGGCATGTGGGGATTTTAAGCAGAGAGGCAATTAACATGGGAAATTAGATGCTTACAAAGTCACTGGAGGTGCTGTAGCAGTCGGCATTAGGCTTGCATCCAGGAATGAGTATGAAACAGCTGAACTGGCCCCATCAGATAGGGGAGGAATCAGAGCCACCACCGGACACACCACTCTAGCTGCCATCCATCATCTGAAGCTGCTGTCACCACCATACGACGTCTGGGCCCCATAAAGCCAGTGCCTGGACATTGGAATGCCATGAAGGAAAACTCATGTGTCCGTGAGCCTACCTGCCACCAGCAAATAGCTAACGGATGAAGAAGCTGGCTCTGCCTCTCTTCCGCCCTGCCGGCCTCACGTGGGTGTCTGCATTCAGCAGAACCTCACGAACGGAAACCCTAGGTGCACGGCAGCCACACTGCTGTTAGCTTTGTAGCCTCTGCAGCAGCAGAAGGCATGGAATGGATGCTGAGTCCAAGCACATATCTCAGAGCCCAATTCCAGATTCCCAAGAGACCCCAGAGGCGAACGTGGCCCATCTTTTGCAGCCAGTGTGGACTGACTGCCCTTGGTTAAGGCCTGGCCTGGGGAAAGCTGTGTAAATACAGGAGGGGCAGTGGAAGGGGAGTGGGGACTGAAAAGCAAAGTGCGTGACTCTGAGTGTGTGCACACATATGCACCTGCATGTGCTTGTCTGGGGAAAAGGAGTGGGGGTGGATCTTAAGGGCTGTGAGATGAAGCCCAGCTCTCCCGACATTCTCACAGGACCTCTTATAACACGAGCAGCCAGCAGCTGCGGAGGCTCCCGTCCAGTGGGGAAGTCAGCGGTGGGGCAGACCTCACCCACTCCCAGTCTCCGCCTACCCTGGGTCAGCACAGCCATCTCTGATCAGCTCTCAGGGGAGGCTGAAGTCTTTGTCTCTCCTTGAGCTAATTTCTGGGGATCCCAGCATCTTGTATTAACAAAACCAGGGTACCTAGAATGTCCCTCTCTTCAAAATACAGTTGTGACACACACTGTGGCTGCAGGTTCCCTGGGGGAACCTTTGCTGGGGTGAGGTTCGTGGAGGCTCAGTTCTGCCTGTCGGGGCCCTCCCTGCAGGCCGCTAGCCCAGGGCAGGACTGAGGGGTTGAGAGATGCCAGCCCCAGGAGCTGCTCAGCTTTGTGGCTGCAGCTCCCTCAGCAGAAACCCTTGCCTGTGGAACTGCTCTCTCCCTTTTGCTTGTTAAATAGTTTGTCTGCTGCCACTCCCCACTCCTGGAAGATGAAGGAGCTGCCACTCCGGAGGCATGGGGAGGTGGGAGGGAGCACACACTCCAGGCCAAACACCCGCCTGCCCTGGCACGCAATCCGCAGGGAGACCCAGGAAAGGGAGGCTGCGTTCCGCAATGTGTCAGGAAGACAAGACAGGCTCTCTCTGCTCCTCTGCCTTGGAGAAGATCTTAGCCGAGCCTGACATCAGGGTCGACTTGGCCAGAGCCTCACAGAGCCTCAGAAGCTAATGAAGGATTCATCCCCATCACCTCAACTCAGGATGTCCCCAAGGGAATGACCCCTCCTCCCTCTGCTCCCAAACTACTGCCTCCTCCGACCTTCCCTGTTTGTGTCACAGCCCCCTCCCCAGTCTCTGAGACCTGCTGCTCCGTCCCCTGAGACTTCTCTCAGATGTGGCCCTTGCTTGTCATTCCTACCTTCGGACCCACTCCCCTACCTTCATCACCACACCAGCCACCTCCCTCAGCCCTCCTGCAGCTCCCCTCTCTCCTGTCCCCGGAGGGTTCCCTTGCTGAACACCCCTGGACACCTCCCATCCTCCCCTGACCGGCTAAATGGAGCCCCAGTGCCTCAGCCTTGTCTCAGAGGCTTTCTGAGGCTCACCCCCAGCAAACCGTTCCAGGCTATCTCCCACACACACCCACATTCTTGCCAAACTATATTATGCATCAATTCTCGAATAGTGGCCACATGATGGAAGCTGGCTAATTAGAGCCCTGTCCTGAGACTTTTGCCTGAACTGGTCCTCTGGGATTTGAGCTGTAAGGATGGTGTGGTAGACTGAAGAAAATACCTCTCTCCCAAAGATATATGTACTTCTTAATACTTGGAACCTGCAAATATTACCTTACCTGCCAAAAAAGCGAATATTGCCTTACATGGCAAAAGATGTAATTAAGTTAAGGATCTTGGGAGGAGAAGCTTATCCTGGATAATTTGGGTTGGCCCTGAATGCCATGACAAGTGTCCTTTACACACAGAGAGAGGAGAAGTTAGACACAAAGGAGAAGGCAATGTGAAAACTGAGCAGAGAGAGATGTGGCCACAAGTCAAGACATGCTGACAGCACCAGACGCTGAGAGAGACAAGGCACGGAATCTTCCCTGGAGTCCTCAGAAGGCACGTGGCCCTGCAGACAACTTGATTTCAGACTTGTGGCCTCCAAAACTGTGAGAGAATAAATTTCTATTGTTTGAAGCCACCAAGTTTCTTATAATTTGTTATAGCATCCCCAGAAATGGATACAGATGGTGAGTGCTGGAGCTGCAGGAGTCATTTTGTGCCATGTGGAGAGGATGTGGGAAGCCTGAAGCAGATCCAGAAGAAAGCAGAGCTGAGGGGTGGAGAGGGCTGCAGGGGGCTAGGGAGAGCCCTGAGGACACTGGGTCACCCTGTAGGCAGCCTTCCCTCCCTAGCCTTTTCTGCAACATAAGCCAACATGTTTCCCCTTTTACTTAAGCCAGTTTGAACTGGTTTTCTGTCACTTGCAGCCCAAAGTGTTCTGACTAACATTCTCACCCAGTAATTATTATGAGCTTTAAAAATAGCTCAAATCTTTGACCCAGTGATCCCAGCTTTCTGCCCTAAGAAAATAATCTTTACAAGGACAGTCACAGCAGTGTGAAAAAATAGAAACAACCTATATATGCAACCACAGGACATGCGTTCATGAATTATGGGGGGATATTATGTAACTATTAAAACTACATTTTCATGCTTATTATAAAATAATTAGTGAAAGGCAGGACAGCAATAAGAAATACATGCACACACATAACCATGCATTTGTATATTTATAAATAACAAGAAACTCCATTTTTAAAAATTTTGCTTCAGATAATTTTTTTTTTTTTTTTTTTTTTTTTTGAGACAGAGTCTTGCTCTGTCACCCAGGCTGGAGTGCAGTGGTGTGATTGCTTGAGATAATTTTTGAGGCAACAAAGCATTACACATGCAGTTGAAATCCTTTGTGTACCTCCCCTCAATTTCTTACACAGCCTCCTTCCCTCTCCAAAGGTAGCTACCTTATCTAAGTTGGTATCATCCTCATGTGTGATTTTAAATACTTACTGCTTATGTATGTATCCATAAGTAATGCATCATATTTGCACGTCTCTACATTTTAATCTGTAGGATGAGGCTTTCTGCAACTTGTCTCTTCTCCACCAACCATATGTTTTGCTTTCAGTCCATCTTGATAACATGTTCATTAATTTTAGCTGCTGTCAAAAATTCCTTTTCTTAGTGTCCCACACTTTACATATCCTTTCTCTGGCTAATAAACGCTGAGCTCACTGGCAATACTTCTTACTATAAAATCCTGCAGCTCTTATGGTTCCTTGTGTACACGCATGAGATTGTCCCCAGGGGGTTACACCCCAAGCAGAGTAGCGGGCGCAGGACGTCTGTGTCTTCTTCCCTACAAGGTGCAGCTGAATTGTGCTCCTAAGGAGTGGTATTTAGAGTGAGTAGTTGGCGGGACACAGTGGCTCACACCTGTAATCCCAGCACTTTGGGAGGTCAATGAAGGCGGATCACAAGGTCAGGAGATCAAGACTATCCTGGCCAACATGGGGAAATCCTGTCGTTACTAAAAATGCAAAAATTACAAAAATTAGCCGGGTGTGGTTGCATGTACCTGTAGTCCTGGCTACTCGGGAGGCTGAGGCTGGAGAATTGCTTGAACCCGGGAGGTGGAGGCTACTAACCTGAGATCGCGTCACTGTACTCCAGCCTGGGCGACAGAGTGAGACTCCATCCCCTGCCCCCGCTCCTCCCCCAAAAAAGAGTGAGTAGTTTCCATTTTCCACATCCTCAATAGGGAGACGTTTTTGACAATCCAACGAGTAGGAAATTGTATCTCGCCATGTGGTTTGATGTACATTTCCCTTTTTATAGGGCTCTCCATACACTTTCCATACATTCATGTCCCCTTCAGTTTCCTCTTCTGTTCAATGCTTTTGACCACTCTACTGAGGTATTTGTCTTTTGAATGGAAAATATATTCACACGAATTACACTCAAATGTCAACAGTGTCTTAACACTTTTTATTTCTCTTTTATAGTAATAGGACACTTCGTTTGTGGTGGCCTTATCAGCGTCCCCTGTCTGGAAAACATCTCCTCAGCTTCCCACCTGCTCCGGCCATGTGGTCCAACTTGGAGCCCAACTCTCACCTGATCCCGCCCCACAGGTCACAGGGATTGGTCCAGGGTTAGGCACGTGACCCAGTCAGACCAATCAGAGCCCCTCTCTGGGCTTTTTAACTGGAGGAGGAGGGCGATTCTTTCCTGGTTGATCATGAAAATGTGAGGACATGAGGCCAGTAATCCTGCTTCATAGAGACAAACAGCCTGCGACCAAGAAACAAATACTAAGGGAGAGAGGAAGGGAGTGAAAACGGAGAGGGCGTGTAGGCAACCAGACCTACCACACGTGTCCAGACACGCCGCGGCTCTGAGCTCCACTGACTCGCACAGACTCGGGGGATGAGGCCCGGCCAGAGACCTGCCCCTACCATCAAGGGTTGCCAGCCTTCTGCAGGGCACCCACCAGGTCTGATGTGCCCAGGGCTGGGGAAGACCCTCGCTCTGACCCTTTAAATCCAGGGCTGCCGAGAAGCCTGTTCTGACGCCGAAGCAGCAACACTGACCAGCAGGACTTCCGCACAGGGCCTGGGCCTGCTCACCTGTGGGGAGGCGCTGGCCAAGGGCATCCCTCGCCGCTCGCTCCTACCCCCGTGGGCCTCGAACGGCCCCTTCCCACTGAGTCAGAGGCCTAAAATAAGAAGCGTGTTCCAAAAGATGTGACTTTTGGGAAAACTTCAGCCAAATCAATTAATGATAAAACCCTTGAGCAAACACAGCTACTTTTATCATTTTAGAATGTTGTGATTGGAGCAGCAAACGAAATTAAATTAAAAACACAGAGACTTCTGGTCAGAACCCCAGCGCTCTTGTTGATTTTTAATCTCCTATTAAACGATATATCTTCTGATGGCTTTTGTCAGCTTATTTAATGTAATAACCCAGGACTTGTGGCCCGCTGACCTCCTCATTCCCCCCACATGGCTAAGGGGGAGGGTACCGCTGGCAGCCAGGTCCACCCACAAGCTTAAAATGGGGATGGGAGGGGGGCAACCGTCATGGGGAGCGGCAAGGGGCCACAGAGGACTCTGGAGACTGAGCTTCACTAGAGCTCTGTAGGCAAACACAGGGCACGGAGGTGCCCCGAGGCCACAAAGCTTTCCCAAGTCACATTCAGAGCCAGGATTGGAACCCAGGCCCCCCAGCAGCCAGCCCACAGCTCAGTGTCCAGGAAAAGGACCGAGTGCAGGGCTGGGAGTGCGGTCTTCAGTTCTCCACCCCCTCTCAGGGGTAGTGGGGCTTATGCAGCTCAGTCTGGAAGACGGAATCAGAGTCCCAGTCCCCAGGAGATCCTGGCCTGATGGCAGAGGCCTTTCCCATGCTCGGGGACTTCCCAGTGTGAGGATGGAGACACAACCCTGCCCTCAGGAAACTCCCAGTGAGGTGCAGACACAGGCAAATACAGATGGCCAAGCCTCCAAGTAAATTGTTTTGGTGAGAACAAGAAAGGGTGGCTTGGAATGTGTGTTGGTTTCACCAAGAAAGGCTTCCTGGAGGAGGCGGAGAAGGAAGCAATCTCAAGACAGCTTAGGCAGAGGATTTGTGGCAAGAGAGAGAAGCTGCAGCGGGTGAGGGAGAAAAGACACAGGGCGCATTTCCTCTATGAGTTGCCTGTACCCACACACAGGCACACACAAACATACAGGCCTGTGTGCACACACTTACACCTGTGCGTACGTACAAAACCATGCACTCAGAAACACAAGCTGACATACCAGGCATAAAGACACGTGGGTCTTCTCTTACCATCGTGCATGCACACACATGTACATACACACATGCATTTATGCACATACACCTGTACATGCAGTCATAGACAGACCTACACGCTGGCCAGGGCCAGGCTTTGAATGAAGTTCAAATATGCTCTGTCTGCTCTGCTCTGCCCATAGGTATGGGGGCCTGCACTGCCCCCAGCCATGCTTGGGGCCCCCAGCAGCTGTATTGCCTGTTAAAAGTTCCTGAGCCCCCTGCCTGGGCTCTGTCGGCATCCCTGCCCCTGCCATGGTCCTGCCCCCTGGTGTACCTGGTGCCTTCTCCCTGGCTCTGTGGGCGGGCAGAGAGCTGGGGCTGGCCAGGAGGACACCCCTAGGGGAACTTCGTAGAGCTACCCACAGGCTAGGGAGAGGTCTCCGGGGCTTGTCTGGGCCACTGCGCAGCCTCGAAGCAGGATGTTCCTTCCCTTTCAGCCACTTGCTGCCTCCCTCCTTTCCTCTCAAGGTCTCTGACAGGTCAGGTTCTTTCGAAGACAATTCAGAGGAAGATTACATGCAGGAAGTTTTCTGAAAAGAACACCTGTGGAGAGTGACACAAGCAGGACTGGGCAGACAGAGGGACTGGGCTGCTCTGTGGTCACAGCAGAGGCCTCAGCCACCCCAGGGAGGACAGAGGAGGGGAGGAGGCCCTACAGCCTGTCCCACATGGGGCAAGGGGATCTGCCTTCACACTGGTGCATTTACCAGCAGCTGGATGCTGGCTGTCCCCAGAAAACGCTGCAACCTCAAAGGAAGAGGCCAAGGGTAACCACAAGGAAGAAGAGCTCAGCTTGGCGCAGTCAGTTGTCCACGTCCCCCATGGCTGGAGAATGGGCACTGGGGTCCTGAAGGGAAGTATGTGGGCAGCACCTAGGTGGCCACTATAGTCTCCAAAGGATGAGGCACCTGACCCCCTCCTGCTGTAGGCCTCACTCACGTCCCTCCTGCTGCAGTTGAAGTCCCCTCTCTTGAGTCTTTCTGAGCCCTGCTCCCCTGTCTGTCCTTCCCACTTCAAACCATTGCCTTAAGCTGGCGTGGACGGCTCCATATTGCAGGTTTCAGATTCCCTCGCAGGAAGCCAGGGGTTGAGGCTCCCTCTAGCACCCTCTCTCTCGCCTCTCCTGAGGCCCGAAGTCACCTCTGAACACAGGGGTGCTGAGTCATGGGCAAAGCGATAAGGACACCCCCTCTGACTGCAGTCCTTCGTGACTCAGAGCAGTGGGACAGGGGCTGAGTCTGATTTGCTCTGGGCTGACAAGACAGCGGTGTGGGCTTGTGACTATCATTCAGCAGGCTCTGTGGGTGGCAGAATGACAGGATCCCCTCTTACCTCAGTCCTCTGTTGATGTCCCCACCACCCCTGTTTACTCTCACACACACAGCGCTGGCAGGAGTGGGAACTGAAATCCTTTGGATTTGAAGCACACTTCATTTCTTCCTCTCCAGGGAAAGTGTGGGCTAGAGAGTGCTGACTTCGAGACCAAGGGGCTGTTCCCCCTAGACTATATTTCATCTGTCCTAAGGAACACATTTGTTTCACACTTTAATATCCCTGAAATTGAAATCTGTCTAACAGTTAGTGGCATATCCTAGTTTAATCAGCAGCATTTTCCGCCATCATGGTAAAATAATGGTTCCTTTAAAAATCACTGGCATCCTAGATTTGATGAGACTGGTACTTTGCATCCACCTGGGAGGCAATGCCAACCTCTCCACCCAGGGAGGTGAGGGAGGCGAGGGAAGGAGACCGGAGGCTGGGCTGCTTTCAGCACCCACGGAGGTGAGGGAGGGGAGGGGAGGGAAGGAGACCAGAGGCTGGGCTGCTTTCAGCACCCAGGGAGGTGAGGGAGGGGAGGGGAGGGGACAAGAAGCTGGGCTGCTTTCAGCACCCAGGGAGTGAGGGAGGGGAAGGGAGGGGACCAGAGGCTGGGCTGCTTTCAGCATTCCCTGCACCAGGCTTTCACTGGGCAGCTTCAGGATCTGGGCCCTCCCAAGGCCTCCTGCAGGCAGATGAAGAGCAGAACCACGTTTTGGAGCCAAACAGAAAATTATTTTTGGAGACTCAGGGCACAAGTTTACCTCTAGTGCCCTGCAGACCTCAGCTGCTGGCGGCCAAGGTCCTCCTTCTGAAGCCTAAATAAAAGTAGCTGAAGCTAGTCCAGCCTCAGCAGCTGGGGCGATGACAGCGATGGGTGCAGATGTTCCAGGGAAGCGGGCTTGGGGCTGCAGCTCCAGGTGAGGCCTGCTGAAGTGTTAATGGGCACCATCTCGAGATGAGAGAATTAGCCCCATGGGGCAGCCAAATGTAAAAAGCCTGGGAATTTAGAAAGAAAACGCTGCCCTGGAGGAGAGGCAAGATGGGAGAGTTCCGGATGCTGAGCTGAGTGGAGGAGAAGCACATTATGGACCTCGTCTGGCACAAGCAGCAGGGAGCCCCCGACACTGCACTCAGATGCTGGCTCTCATCGCTCCCCTAGAGGCTTGGTGAGCTCCCAGATGGCCATCTCAGCAGACTTTTGTGGGGCAGGTGGCAGGAGGATGATACTGAGATCCATGCCTCTTTCAACAAGCAGCAGAGACAGGAGAAAGATACTTTGGCCACAGGGTCAGGGGTGGGAGCAGGTGGGAGCCAGCATCTCCAGAGGGAGACTCCAGGCAGAGAGGAGGCTGAAGGACCTGCTTGGGAGTGTAGGTTGAGAGCCCCACTGTGCAAGACACTATGCTCCCTCCTCACCCCCTCCAACCTGAGCGGAAGCAAGGGGCTCTGGGAAGCCTGGTTTGCAGGAGAAGGCCAGGAGAGCAGGGCCCTGGAGCCCAAGCCCTGTAGGACGCCTGGCCAGCCCAAGCCAGCTTCATTCATTCCTCCACCCCATAAACACCTGCTGAGTAGTGAAGCAAACAGGCAAAACAGACTCCTCTGAAGGAGTCTACGTTCTAGTGAGGGGAGAAATACATTAAACAAAATAAACACAGAATGACATTGGTGCTAAGCGCCACAGAGAAAAATATAACAGAGTGAGGAGGTTGGAATGAACAGGAATACCGCTTTCTATCATGTGGGCAGGGAAATCCCTCTGCACAGATGTGACGACAGACCTAAGTGAAAAGAGGGCGGGAGCCTTGGGGGCATCTACAGGAAGCTTCCTTCCACTCAGCACGCCAAGCAGTGGTGCAAAGGCCCCGCCAGGGTGGGACTCGGATGGTCCCAGACTAACAAGCAGATCAGGGCTGGAGTGGAAGGAGACAGTGAGCGAGAGGGAGGAAGGTGCGGGGAGGGAAGTGGCATCCAACCCCACAGGGCTTTCTGGGCCACGGAAAGGACTTTGGCTTCCACTCTGAGTGGAAGGGGAGTCTACAGAGGGTTTAAGCAGAAAGGGGTGACCTGACTTCGGTTTTAACAGGATAACAGACAGCAGGGGCAAAGGGCAGGCAGCAGGGACGCTGTTAAAAGCCATTGTAATCTCCAAGCAGAGATAACAGTGGCTGGATTGTGGATATATTTAGACGGCAGAGCTGACGAGATTTGCTGACAGATTGGATTCGGGATGTGTTCCAGTTATCTATTGCTATACAACAAACCACCCCCAATCCTTGGTGGCTTAAAACGACCACAGGCATTTATTTTGCTTATGAATCTGCAAAATGCGGGCAGGACTCAGTGAGGAAGGCTCCTCTCTGCACCACATGATGTCAACAGGATGGCCTGGGAAGCTGCGGAGCCACTTGCAGGCTGAGTCTCACATGACTCATGGCTGCAACCAGGGCTTGGCCTGGCCCATCCACCCGAGGTCTCAGCCCCTCCTCATGTGGGCCTCTCCCAGGGCTCCCGGGTTCCAAGGGCAAGCATCTCAGGAATCCAAGGCAACACCTGCAGGGCTTCTTACCACCTAGCCTCGGAAATCCCAGAACATCACTTCCTACTGCCTTCTGTTGGTCAAGTGAGTCACCAGGGCTAGCCCTGATCAACGGGAGAGGAATTAGACCCCACCATCTCTCAGCGGGGAGAACAAAGAACTTATGGCCATCATTACTCTGCCACACAGTGTGAAAGAGGTGAGGCAAGGGTGACTCCAGGATTCTTGGCCTGAGCCACTTACGTCCTGGTGTATACCACTAGTGAGGCAACTGCTTCTTGCTCACCTTACCTTCCAGAGGCCGAGCTGTGGGCCTTGTCCAAGCCCCCTCCCTCACAGGTCTTATTTCTTCCTGTCAAATAAAGGGTCTGAATGGGAAGACAGTTGTCCCTTCCAGCCCTGGGACACTAGCAACAGGGCGGGGAGCAGCTTCCTTATGGGGTCCAAGAGACGAATGTCCCCTCCTCCCAGGAGCTACTCTTAGAACCTCGGGCGGGAGGCCTGAGACAGGGCTGCGGTGGCTGGCTGGGAGGCACCACAGAGCAGGGGCCTGGCCTGCAGCCCTTCCCCTCGGTATCCTGCCTCTGCCTCTGGGCCAGAGCCATCCATGTGTCCTACCCACACTCAGGAAAAAGGTGGACAGGCCCTGCCTGTGAATGCCAGGTTCTGGTTTCCAAGCCTTTATCTCTCAGGGCATGGCCAGGGATCAGGAGACCCAGAGGCAATCAGCTGATCACCTGTCCACTGTGGCCCCACTCTGAGCCAGGCAGCCTGGGTGGGGGCCTCTGACATGCTTTTCCTGACACAGAAGAGGGCCAGGAGAGGGGCTGCTGCCCATGGCTGTGAGCACACGGCTCCACCCAGCCTGGTCCATCACCCTGCACACACACCTGGGTTGGCTGAAAGGTGTATGTCTCCCTCCTGCAGGCAAGAATAGCAGGATATGGACTCCCCACCCTGAAGAAAAGACTCTAGCACAAACTCTCATGTGCCCATGAATGTCCTGGGGTGTGTCCTTAAAATACTGAAGCTGAATCAAAGGTTCTGTGTTTCCACCCAGTCCCCAGGTGATGCCAACGCTTCTGGGCCACAGGGCAAGGGGCTGGTCTAGCCAGACCTGCGGCTTCCCAGGTGGACACCCCAGGAGACTGCAACACAGCCAGCCTGGCTAGAGGGACCATTGTCCAGCCCCTCATCTCACAGATGAGATGGACAGCAGCTGTGGCACGCCACGAACCTACAATGCCACCATCACCAGCTGGGCTCTGGAGCGAGCACACACAGGTGGATGGGCTCTGTGACCTTGGGCAAGTTCCTTTGTCTCTCTGGGTCTGTTTGCTCATCCGCAAAATGGAAAGAAGCCTGGAAAGCGGGAAAGAAGGAGGGGTCCGGAGAAAGGGGAGTAGAGGGATGGGGAAGAATATTGTGCAGGTGACCTGGGGGGGAGCACTGAAAAGGAGAGGTGAAGGGAGGAGGGGCAGAAAGAGAAGGCAGGGGAAGAGGGGGCAGGGCGAAAAGAGGCAGTCAGGGAACCTTGAAGAGAAGGGCACTCAGCCAGAGTCATAACTGTGGGATGGTGGGAGAAGGAGAAAGTGAGGAAGAGTCTGGGGCTGGGGACCGGGACAGCCTGGGTGTCATGGAGGAGTGGGCAGGGAGGGTGGGCCCGAGGGGGATGCAGTGCTCTCTCTTCATCCCAGGCTCTCAGGTGCCAGGGAGAAATGAAATTCTAGCTGCAACCCTTCTGGGAAACATCCTGCCTTTCCATTTATGGGGAATAAGTAGAAAAATGACTGGAGGAGGTGCCACCACATTATTATTATTATTAATTTTTTTTTTTTTTTTTTTTTTTTTTTTTTGGCAATTGTGGCAAAAATGTCTCCACTGGGTGTGTAAAGCCCATCAGGATGGTAGGATGGTATGTAATGGCCGGCCACCTTCAGCAGGCTCAGCACCTGCAAGCCTTCCTCCACAGGGCCACATTTAACCCGGGCTCCCTGCGGCCCAGACATGCCCGCAGTCCTGCAATGAGTTGCAGAGTGAAGTTAAAACACCCACCACCAGGCATCTCTCTGGCAAGCCTGGCCCTGGTTCTACCCAGCTCCACAGCACAGCCCCGAGAAGGGACACTGAGGCACAGGAGACTTCACCCCTTTCTGGACCACCAGACCCACTCATTTGTACTGGCTTTTCCCACCCATTCAGGGGCTTCCTGGGACCAGAGTTGACCTTGGGCCTCCTTGAAGAAAAGAGAAATGGCTCTCTGTGCCTTCCCATAACCCACTCCCCCAATGAAAACGTTCTCTTTTGATTTTTGTCCGAAACAGTTCTTTGTTGTGTAAGACTAGGAGGGGACAGAGAGGAGAGGCTGGTGGCAGTGGGAGGGAGACAGGGGTCCTTGCAGGAAACAGAGGAATTATGTCAATATGCTGCCAAGGGTAGAGGCTGTCATCACGGGCCTTTACAAGGCGCTGTGGCAGTGAGCGTGCAGTGTTACACAAGGTGTAATTCATAAGGGCCCAAAGCCGGCAGTGCCTGTGGAGCTCAGCCCAGGGGCTGGGGTGGCCCATGCCCTCCTCCAAGGGGGAGCAGCCCCTGCCACCCTTGGCGCACACTGTACCTTGACATGGAGTGCCCTCTCCCTCCCGAGCCGTTGTGACTTTACTCGTTTCTCAAGGCCCGGCACAGATGCCACCTCCTCTCCAGAGCCTACTCTGAGCCTTCCAGCCTCGGTCTCCCACCTTCCCCGCGCTGCCCAAAGCCAGCTCAGAAACAACATCCTATCCTTCAAGAAACCCACCATGCCCTGTGGCTGGCCTGGCCTCTTTCTCCAAACACACTGGGAGTTCCTTAAGGGCAGAGCAGCCCTTGTCCTGGCTCCTGTGAAGAGCCTTTGGCAACTCCCTCTTCCTGTTTCACAGGAGGAGCCTCACGACTCAGCGCTTCCGCACCCAGCCTCCTGGCTCTAAGCACAGAGAGCCGCTGCCTCATTCCCCTTCACGGCCCTTAGCCCCCCTGGCTCTACACATTTGAGCTCTTTTTTGGTTTATTGTCTATTTCTCCTGACTAGAATGTAAACTCCGTCAGGGTGACTGTTTTTGTGTGTTTTCTTCTCTGCTGTATCCCCAGCATCCGGAACGGTGCCCAGCACAGAGTAGGTGCTTAGTAAATGTTTGTTACACCCAGCTCTTTACAGAGTGAATTATGCAGTAGAATTTTTTCTTGTCTTGATCCACACACACGCAACAACCGAGGAGAGGTGATTTGTTCTGCACTGGAAAGCGCGGGGGAGAAGCGAGGTCTTTCATACCCTCTGAGGTCTCGCCCCTTTTCCTAGAAAATCTGGAAACTGGTAGCCTCTCTCCATAGAATTCTCTTTATCCAGAGCATAAGCCCTCAGAGAGCTCCAAGAACAAATGTTTTTTGCTCACATCTCTTTTGGAGAACATTCAGAGAACACCCTGCCTTTTTGAGAGGAGAGAAGTACAGTGACTTCCACAGTGTCACCACTCAGCAAGTCAGTGGCCCGGCCAGAGCCACTCCCGGCGCCAGGCCAGGGCACTGGTCATGCCCACACTGGCTCTCTCTGCCACCCACTGAGGCTGAGAGAGGCAAAAGACCAGGAAAGGGGCTGACTTTGGAGTTTTGATCCAAAACTGGGGCTGGGGCTCTGGGGAAGGCCCCAGGCCCAGGAGGCTCTGCACAAATAGATCTGGTGAAAACACCCCCAGCTCTTCCTAGGCTCACACTGGGGAACTGGACTGGGAATTAGGCTGTGTAAGGGGCCTTTGCTTTTTATTTATCCGCTTAGGCATTGTTATGAACATTTAAAGACCTGTAGAGATTATTTCTTATTAAAACTTATTTTCAAAGTTTTAAAAGAAAACGAACAATTCATGCATGGTGTGAATGGCAATTATCTATTCAACCTAACAAGCATTTATTATGTGCCTACTGTGTGCAGGCCAAAATTTTAAATGAATAAGAGGCAGTCCCCATTGTGTAGACACAGAGCCGTGAGGGGGAGTGAGACAGATAAAACAGCATTAATAGAAAGGAGGAGGAACCATGCTAGAGGTGTTTACAGATACAATGGGGACACAGGTGACAATTCATTCCACCTGAAGAGTCAGGAAAAGCAGCCAGAGGAAAGGTAGCATTTTCACTCAGACTTGAAGGACCCCAGCCAAGGAGAACAGCATGAACATAGCCTAGAGAAGGCAGGATCTGCGTTTTTAAGGAACTGGACCAAAAGCCTGGGGTGCTGGGTGGCCTCAGAAATGGGGGTTGGAAGACACTGGAGGTGGGCCAGAAAAAGCAGGTGGCAGGCAGGTGCTGAAAGTCCGTCAGTGGCTGTGACTTCACAGAAAGCTCTCAAAGTCCTGAAGCAGAAAGAGGAGCCGTCAGGCATTCGGAAGCAAGGCTGAGGGTGAATGGGCTGGCAGGAGGAGGAGAGGAGAGGCTGGAGACCAGGGAGAAAGCAGGTGCGGACATCCCAGAGAGGGGGATGGGGTCCTGGGTTGGGGACAGTAGAGCAGCAGCACTGGGGACAGATATTGTTGACTCCTGGCCTGAGGGAAAAGGAGGGAGAGGGAGGGGTTGATATGCCCTGAAGTTCCCAGCTCAGCCACAGGGATGTGCCAGCTCCAGGACCTGTATCATGGGGTCCTGCCCTATTTCCCCAGCCACAGTTGGTTTGTCCATGTCCAGGCACCTAATCCAATTAGGTGACGAATCCGGGGATGAGGGGGGCAGCACTGAGATTCTGCCAGAGACCCGCTCTAGAGGATTCTTTGCAAAATATGTATAACTAAGGCCTCAGCCTTGATACCTGCACCCTCTTGTTCCCAGCACGGGACTGGGGACTCAGCCTGGTAGTCAGAGGAAAGGAGGGCAGAAAGGGCTGGTGCAATTCAGGAGGACCTCCTAGAGAAGACAGCTGGATTTGGATAGACAGAAGGAAAAGCAGAAGCCATGCAGGAGCACAGGAACAGGCAGGCCCTCAAACTCCATCTCTTCCTCTCCAGCCCTCTTGGGGGAGGAGCCCCAGTGCAGCCCAGCACCTCTAGAAAGGGGCTCCAACTCCCTCCTCCTCACCCCTCTAGCCTGGGGTCCCAAGAGTAGCTCTGGTAGGGAGTATGCGGCCTCTCAGCAGATGGGGAAATGAGCCCAGAGAGAACAGTATCTTAGTTCATTGTGTGTTGCTATAACAGAATACCACAGACAGGGTAATTGATAAGCAATAAAAGTTTATATGGTTCACTGTTCTAGAGGGCAAGAAGTTCAATATCTATCAAGGTGCCGGCATCTGGTGAGGGCCTCCATGCTGTGTCATCCCATGGCCAAAGATGGAAGGTCAAGAGGGCACAAGAGAGCAAGGGTAAGAGGGGGCTGAACCGGCCTTTCTAACAAGCCCACTCCCGAAATAACTAACCCACTCCTTCGATAATTACATTAATCCATTTATGAGGGCGGAGCCTTCATGGCCTCAGCTCCTCTTAAAGGTCCCGCCTTTCAACACTGCTGCATCAGGGATTAAGTTTCCAACACATGACCTGTGGGGGACATATTCAAACCACAGCAGGCAGCAACTCACCTCAGGTCACACAGCCAGTTAGTGGTCCTGCAGGACCCCAAATTCAGGCCTCTTTCTCCTGGGGAGGTAGCCAGGCTGGGCAGACCTCCATATGGCAAAATCTCCCAACCTATATGGGACACAGAGGACTGGCCCAGCAATGCTGACTTGGAGCCCCATGTAGACTTCCGTGGGCACCGAGTCTGAGAAGCCCTATATGCCTGGTGCACCCACTCCTAGAAACTCCTTCAGCTCCAGCCTGGGGTGGGGGTCAGGAGGTTAGCAGCACCATAGTCTCATAGCCTCAGACAAATGCCTTCCTGCTCCCACTTCCAGCTGCCTCCCATCTGGCCTGGGGGTGGGTGGTGGGGTCCTCTAAACCCTCCCTCCAGAGTGCCAGCCACAAGCTGCCCGCCACATGGGGAAGAGAGGGAAAGCGGAGAGAAAAGAGGCTCTGGTTGGCCAGCCTAGGTGCCTGTAGACCACTCCTTGGTGGCAGGCAGCCACTGCTGTGTCACAGTGGAAGTCACAGCAGTGACAGGGACCTAGTCTGATCCACTGGGATGCAAATGGACGGCAGCATGCTGCAGCAGAAGAGGACACAGATGCCCCGGCAACTGGAGTCTCCCCAGGTCAGGACCAAGCCCACTCAGGACCTGGGTGACAGCAGGAAACTCCAGTTCCTCTGTTTCCTGCCTTGCTCTGTACCAATTCTCCCTCCCTCCGCACACTCCATCCTTTCTTTTCTTTTCCTCCCGTCTCTCTCATACCTCCCTCAGTTCCCCTGCTTCCCTGCCCCTCCCTCCTCCTCCATGGTTGTTATTCCTCTGGGTTGAGCATTGCCCTCCCCTGTGTCCTCTTTGTAAATCCCCCAGGGAAGTCCTCAGGTTGTTTCAGTGACTTCCCTGGAAGGACACAAATGAGAACACAAAATGTGGGATGAGGAACATCTCCTTCCATTCTCCCATTTGGCCTCTTGAGCCCTGCCTTGGGACTGCAATGACAGGAGAAGAAGCCAGAAAAAACAAAGGGGAGTCTGGGAAGCGGAGAAAGCGCCAGCACCTGCCCACAGGGAGGAGTGGGGACGGGCAGGGGGAAAACTGGGCCAACCCCAAATTTCAACCCCGGAAGTGCCCAGAGTTCCACTCTGGCAGGGGCAGGGACCTGGGAGAGCCATCTTCCTCCACATCCCTGGCTCTCCCTTGAGCCTGAAGAATATGTGTCACCTGCCTAATGAGGCACAGAAGGTGGAATGGGGTTACAAAGTGTCAATGAAGCCATTTCCCACCACGCACAGCAACTAGATGTGGCAGGTCTGCGGCAAGAACTGGCCCACGATCCCTGTCACCCCACTGTCCCCCTCCTGGGGAGCCTGAGGCCACTGCTGTTCATTCCCCAAGGGGTGGTCTCAGCCAGCACACCCAGCCCCAGCTGGCTCGAGAACTGTCAAATGTCTCCTACATCGCACACCAGCTGAACGCGGCCTGCAGCCTGAACGTACTGTCCCACACACTTGCACTGCCATTTTTCAGATGTCTAAAGATGCTCTTGTGATTAATAAAACGCAAATGCATCCAAAACGTTGCTGAACCCGTAGTGGATTTTTGTCATTGTGAATTTCCTACACAGGGACTGGTACTGAAAGCTCAGTTGAAAGTTTTTATTTTCAAAGTGATGCTGGGTTTTATTCTTTTTTGGTTTTCTTTTTAACTTTTTTATTCTGGAGAATTTAAACACACACATGCACACATACAAGCAGAGAGACTTGGGGAGCCCCAGATACCCCTTCCCGAGCATCAGCAGCCCTCAGCTCCTGGCCGGCCTCATTGCATCTACATCCCAGCCACGTCCCCTGCCTAGTTATTTTGAAGCAAACCCCGGACACCATATTATTTCCTATTTCAATCTTTTACTATAGATCACTAAAAGATAAGGACTTTCTTTTTAAACAGAATCAAAACACCATTATCGCACTTAAAGAAAAAAGCTTAATGGTATTTCTTCCACATCCAGTCAGTGTTCAAAGCAGTTGAGACTTTTTTGTCAACCATGGATCTTCATGCTTAAAAAGGTGGGATCCACTGGCCTGTGTGTCCCTCTCGTTTGGTCATAACTGTGCCTGCCTTTTATTCCTCACCCAACCTCCTCCCCATCGTGGCGGGTAAGAACAATCTTGGGCCAGAAACCAAGTCAGAATCCTCTTCCCTTCCAAACCCCCAGCAGAGAAGCGAGTCAGGGCCGCTGCTGTGGGCTCCACAGTGGCTGTACCATAAACACGTGTTCAGTCAAATTGAGTTGCACTCTGATGCTGCAACACAGGTGTAGATCGAAGGCCTCAGCTCAGAGCGTAGTGAAAAGCAGTGGGCATCGCACCCCCAGCAGGAGCGGACATGCAGGGACAGGGTCCAGGTCCAGCACGGGGGTGGGGGCATCAGCTTCCCCCTCTAGGTATCCAGAATAGAGCCCACAGCCCCAACTATTCTGCTGAAGGGTCTTGCCTGCCTGACCTCTGTGCCACTCCATCAGGTCCTGTGAAAAGCTGTGCCTAAGCACCCTCCTCTCTGCTCTGCATCTAAATGCCACCTCCTCCAGGGAGTCCTCCTGGAGCCCATCTACCACAAAAGGCCCACTTACCTTTATCCTCTGTGTCCTCTGGACTTTGCCTGGCCCACCCTTTACTGAGGTTGAATCATTTGCTTCCCCTTCGATGTAGCTGTGAGCCCCTGAAGGGCAGGGACAGTACCTAGTCCATCTCCATATCCCCCAAGGAAAGCTCTCAGCAACTGCTTACAGCTGAACAAACAGCAGACCATATTTCTACCTGGAGATGTGCCTTCCTTGCTGAGATATTTCCTTCCTTATTGATTTTCTCTACCCCTTTGATCATTTTCTTCCTTTTTAAGCCAGAGCTTCTCATACACAAATCCATTTATTGTGCAAGCTCTTAGTAAGCACCACTGTGTCCCAGGTGCAGGGGTAGGCAGTCACTCCACTAACAGTGAGGCCGGCAGGGGTGCAATGACGCGAACAGCATCACGCATGTGTAGGTATGTATGGGTGCAGGCGTCTTCTCCAAACCCTCCACACGTGGGTTAGGTCCTGCAACCCCTGGGTTCACATAATCCCAGGCCTGGCTCTCCTTCACCTCCAGGTGTTGGCAACTCAGACAGGTGGTCCCATCCTTGGTGGAGATGACATTTAAGTTGAAGGAAGATTTTCACATCCATGTCTCATTCAATTCTCAGCTCACCCAGGAAGTGAGGGATTGGATGAGACAAACATGCCCAGTCATCAGTAGATGAAAGTGAAACACAGAGAGGTTGTGCTTTGCCCAAGAGGCACACAGCACAGCAGGGATTCAGAGTGCCTGGACCTGAATCCAGCCTCAACACATTTCAGGGTCCATGAAGCCAGCCTCCAGGAGACCCCACGTGCACAATGCTTGGTCTGGTCCCACCCCCAAGCCCTTTATCATCACCCAGAAAACTCCCTCCTCCCTGTGTCCGGTGCTAAGAGAGTTAGGAGGGGCCTCCAAAGCCCCCAGCATGGCCTACCCCCTTCTTTACATTAATATTATAGTTGAGGTAACCGAGTCAAGATGGGAAAACGCCTCAGCATGGATTGAGCACCTACCAGACACACCAGGCTCTTGGCATCCATTGTCTATTTAATGCTTACCCAGCCCCAGCAAGGCAGACCTTGACCCCATGATCTACATGAAAAGGGGCTCCAGCCAAGCCAAGCCCCAATATTTTTGCAACCTCACTGGCCAGAAATGGGAACAAACTTCTGTATCAAAGCTGTCAGCACTTCTCTGATTCTTGTGGAAAGATAGCTCTTCTGTTCTGAGAAAAATAATTTAGCAGATTTTTTTGCGTAAAAGTGCAGCTAAACTCTTCTGGACTGGAAAGAGTGGATTTGATGAGAAACACACAATTTTGGAGGCAATGTGGCCTCTCTCTCTCAGCTCAGCAGAGGTTGGGGATCTGGACCCTCGGTCACAGGGTTAGGGCCAAAGGCACTTTCACTAAAGGTCTAAGTGGCCCCTTGGTATCAGTCCAACCTAAGGTGAGAGCCACCCAGCGGGAGAAGGGTTGGAGAGGTGCCTGTGGAGGCAGGATCAGGGCACCTGCCAGCCAACTTTTCTTTACACTGGCTAAGCCCTAAGTAAAGCTTGTTTAAACCCCAGAGCCTGGTCTTTGCCAGACTTTGCAAATTAAGGGAATTAGGCTATGTCCCAGCTTGGAAGGAAGGGGTTGAGGAGGAAGAAATTGACCTGAAAATGCCCACAGTGAAGAGGTGGCAGGCAGAGACCAGGAACAGCTGTCAGTGGGAGCGAGATGCTGGCAGAGCTGCCACCACGGATTTTGGGAGATGTGCAAGAATTCCTTGGGGATCCCCAGAACTGCTTGGGAGGGAAACCTGGAAAAGACTGGACTTGCCACATGGCGGGAATGGGAGGGGCTCAGAGTATCGTCACGCTGAAAATCGCAGACCCCATAGACTGGAGAAGTCGGACACATCTGGGTCACTACCGATGAGAAAATTGAGGCCCCTGAGGCCAGATGCATTGCCCAGCATCTCCCAAAGCCCCTGCTCTTCTGGCTGGAATAAGAATGCAGCTCTCCTGCCTCAGCCCTGACAGTTCCTCAGGAGAACCAGTTTCCCCCAGGCTGAGCGGCTGGTTGGCCCCATTCCCTTGGTCACCATCTCCTTGCCTCTCAGAGGCTCCTCTACCTCAAGAAGGCATGGAGTTCTTAGGGTGGCAGCCCGCCCTGACATGTGTGTCTGCCCTCCACCTTGGCTCTGATTGACTTTTTACTTCCTGCCTGTCCAAGCAATAATTAAGATTCCTTTTTCCATAGTAAGCAGCTGCTGTCATCACCACTTCACAGCTCTGCTAATCACATTCCCCTTCTTCTCTTTATCCTGGAGGTAGGTTTCTGACAAGTCCTGTTTCCATTCCCTGCAGAAAAAAAAGAAAAAGAAAAAGAAAAAAGGAGAAGGATGTTGAAGATAGAGCCTGGGAAGGTGAGGATGGAAGTGGTAGATCTGGGGGTGGCTTTCTTAGAATATGAACAAGTCCACCTCTGACTTCCAAGGCAGGCTCAACCTGGATGGAACAAAGATCACATTCTGCAGAGAAAGTAGGAGGGACCCTCAAGACCCCATGGTACCCAAACTTACCTGTCCCTGGTACCTGAATCTCCTCATTATAGATTTATCCTTTTGAATAGGGCTTGTTAGAAATGCAGATACTCCTGGGCCAGGCACGGTGATTCATGCCTGTAATCCCAGCACTTTGGGAGGCTGAGGCAGGCAGATTACCTGAGGTCAGGAGTTCAAAACCAGCCTGGCCAACATGGTGAAACCCCATCTTCACTAAAAATACAAAAACTAGCCGGGTGTGGTGGCACACACCTGTAGTCCCAGCTGCTCGGGAGACTGAGGCAGAAGAATCACTTGAACCCGGGAGCCGGAGGTTGCAGTGAACTGAGATTGTGCCAGAGCACTCCAGCCTGGTTGACAGAGCTGGAATCTGTCTCAAAAATGAAAATAAAAAATAAAAATAAAAATGATACAGATACTCCTGGAGGGAGACTTGTCAAACTCAGAGTGATTTTTGGTGGCGTGTGTGAGGATCCTGTGTGCTTGCCCCCTTCCCCTGCTCTGCAATGGATCACAGTGGGCTGCCCCCGCAAACTACATTTCCCAGGCTCCCTGCCTGCTGGCTTCCTGTCAGGTTAGACCAATAGCAGCCACTGGCTGGAGGCTGGTAGGAGGGAGAAAAGGAGAAGCCCGGGTATTTCTTCCCACTCCTCTGATCTGGGGTGTCTCTGCTAGTGGCTGTTTATTGGCTTCCAGAGTTTGTCCCTCCACAATTCTGGTTCCAGTTCCAGCCTGGAAGGGCCCTGGGTAGCCCCTTCTCTGCGTCCCAGCTCCCGCTGGGCAGCCTAGCTCCTGGGCTGTCCCTATTCCTCTGACCTAGGGTGGAGCAGATTCCTGCCATTAGCAATCTTCGGGTCTTTCTTTCCCCATCTCCTGCTCAGCTCCTCCAGCACTTCTGTAATTTTTTTGCATATTATATTCCCTGATTGAACTGCCTGGCAAAGCTCTGTTTTCCTGCTTGGACCGTCACTGATAGAGCTTCTCACCATTAAAATATTCAACACAGAACTGTTGATGCCACCTGGCCTAACACATATCTCTTCCTTCCTCAGTTTTCCCCAGCTCAGTAAATACCACCGCCACACCACACTCAAGTCAGAAATCTAAACATCACCCTTGATTCTTTCATCACCAAATCTGCTTCCAAGTATATATTCTGAATCTTGGGTTTCCGTCATCACCATCCTCCCTCCCCTGGCCTGCGACTTCCTGACTGGGGTCCCTGCTTCTCATTTCCTCCCACAATCTTCTTTCCACATGGTACCCCGACCCACACCATGTCTTCTCCCCCCAGTCTAACGTTCCTCAGTGGCACCCCCTTCAGACTATCCAGGGTCAATCAGGATGTGTGGCCCCTGTGGAACACCCCCTGCTTCTGGCTATCTTAAGAAAAGAAATGAGGGCTCAGAA